GGGAGTCCTACTAGGATTCCACTCCTAGTAGGATCCTCCCCCCCTTTTCCTTTCTTCATCGGAGGGGAAAAGGAAGGAGGAGAGGGAGAGGGAAAGGGGGCGCCGCCCCCTCCCCTAGTCCAATTCGGACTGCCATGGGGGCAGCCACCCCTTGTGGCCCTCCTCTCTCTCCACTAAGGCCCATCTAGGCCCAATACTTTCCCGGGGGGTTCCGGTAACCCCTGGGTACTCCGGTAAAATACCAGAACCACTCGAAACCATTCTGATGTTCGAATACTATCTTTCAATATATGAATATTTACCTCTCGGCCATTTCGATACTCCTCGTCATGTCCGTAATCTCATCCGGTACTCTGAACAAACTTCGGTCACCAAAAACACATAACTCATAATACAAATCATCATCGAACGTTAAGCGTGCGGACCCTACGGGTTCGAGAACTATGTAGACATGACTGAGACACATCTCTGGTCAATAACCAATAGCGGAACCTGGATGCTCATATTGGTTCCTATATATTCTACGAAGATCTTTATCGGTCAAACCGCAATAACATACGGTATTCCCTTTGTCATCGGTATGTTACTTGTCCGAGATTCGATCGTCAGTATCCTCATACCTAGTTCAATCTCGTTACCGGCAAGTCTCTTTACTCGTTCCGTAGTGCATCATCCCGTAACTAACTCATTAGTCACATTGCTTGCAAGGCTTATAGTGATGTGCATTACCAAGAGGGCCTAGAGATATCTCTTCGATACTCGGAGTGACAAATCCTAATCTTGATCTATGCCAACCCAACAAACACCTTCAGAGACGCTTGTAGAGCATCTTTATAATCACCCAGTTACGTTGTGACGTTTGATAGCACACAAGGTGTTCCTCCGGTATTCGGGGGTTGCATAATCTCATAGTCAGAGGAATATGTATAAGTCATGAAGAAAGCAATAGCAATAAAACTTAACGATCATTATGCTAAGCTAACGGATGTGTCTTGTCCATCACATCATTCTCCTAATGATCTGATCCTGTTCATCAAATGACAACACATGTCTATGGTCAGGAAACTTAACCATCTTTGATTAACGAGCTAGTCTAGTAGAGGCATACTAGGGACACTTTGTTTTGTCTATGTATTCACACATGCACTAAGTTTCCGGTTAATACAATTCTAGCATGCATAATAAACATTTATCATGACATAAGGAAATATAAATAACAACTTTATTATTGCCTCTAGGGCATATTTCCTTCACCATATACCTTCCTCAAAACAGCCACCTACCTACCTATTATGGCATTTTCATAGCCATTCTGAGATATATTGCCATGCAACATTCCACCGTTCCGTTTATTATGACACGCTTCATCATTGTCATATTGCTTTCCATGATCATGTAGTTGACATTGTATTTGTGGCAAAGCCACCGTTCATAATTCTTTCATACATGTCACTCTTGATTCATTGCACATCTCGGTGCACTGCCGGAGGCATTCATATAGAGTCATATTTTGTTCTAAGTATCGAGTTGTAATTCTTGAGTTGTAAGTAAATAAAAGTGTGATGATCTTCATTATTAGAGCATTGTCCCATGTGAGTAAAGGATGATAGAGACTATGATTCCCCCACAAGTCGGGATGAGACTCCGGACGAAAAAAGGCCCAAAAAATGAGAGAAAGCCAAAAAATATGAGAGAAAAGAGAGAAGGGACAATGTTACTATCCTTTTACCACACTTATGCTTCAAAGTAGCACCATGATCTTCATGATAGAGAGTCTCTTATGTTGTCACTTTCATATACTAGTGGAAATTTTTCATTATAGAACTTGGCTTGTATATTTCAATGATGGGCTTTCTCAAATTGCCCTAGGTCTTCGTGAGCAAGCAAGTTGGATGCACACCTACTCAGTTTTTTTTGAGCTTTCGTAAACTTATAGCTCTAGTGCATCTGTTGCATGACAATCCCTACTCACTCACATTGATATATATATTGATGGGCATCTCCATAGCCCATTGATACGCCTAGTTGATATGATTTTGTCTTCTCCACAACCACCATATTCTATTCCACCTATAGTGTTATGTCCATGACTCACGCTCATGTATTGCATGAAAGTTGAAAAAGTTTGAGAACATCAAAAGTATGAAAAAATTGCTTGGCTTATCATAGGGATTGTGCATGATATGAATATTTTGTGTGATGAAGATGGAGCATAGCCAGACCATATGATTTTGTAGGGATAACTTTCTTTGGCCATGTTATTTTGAGAAGACATGATTGCCTTGTTAGTATGCTTGAAGTATTATTGTTTTTATGTCAATATTAAACTTTTGTTTTGAATCTCATGGATCTGAATATTCTTGCCACAATAGAGAAGAATATATGGATAAATATGTTAGTAGCATTCCACATCAAAAATTCCATTTTTATCATTTACCTACTTGAGGACGAGCAGGAATTAAGCTTGGGGGTGCTTGATACGTCTCCAACGTATCTATAATTTTTTATTGTTCCATGTTATTATATTATCCATCTTGGATGTTTTATATGCATTTATATGCTATTTTATATGATTTTTGGGACTAACCTATTAACCTAGAGCCTAGTGCCAGTTTCTATTTTTTCTTCTTATTTTTTAGTTTCGCAGAAAAGGAATATCAAACGGAGTCCAAATGAGCTGAAAATTTACGGAGATTTTGTATCGACCAGAAGAAGCCCCCAAAGCAAAAGAGTTGTGCTAGAAGAGCCACGAGGCACCCACAAGGGTGGAGGGCGCCCCACCTAGGGCGCGTCCTCCGGTCTTGTGGGCTCCTCGTGGACACCCCTGACTTGTTCCCGACGCCAAAAATTCCTAAAAATATAGAAACCCCCAGAAATAAACCTAGATCGGGAGTTCCGCCGCCGCAAGCCTCTATAGCCACGAAAAACTAATCGAGAGCCCGTTCCGGCATCGTGCAGGAGGGGGAAACCATCACCGGTGGCCATCTTCATCGTCCCGGCGCTCTCCATAACGAGGAGTGAGTAGTTCACCCTCGGGCCTAAGGGTATGTAACAATAGTTATGTGTTTGATCTCTCTCTCTCCCTCTCTCTCTCTCTCGTGTTTTTAATTTGGCACAATCTTGATGTACCACGGGCTTTGTTATTATAGTTGGATCTTATGATGTTCTTCCCCCTCTATCTTCTTGTGATGAATTGAGTCTTGCACTTTGCGGTTCCGTTATGTCGGATTGAGTATTGGATTTGAGAACACTTGATGTATGTCTTGCGATGGAATATCTGTGGTGACAATGGGATGTTCTATTGATTCACTTGATGTATGTTTTGGCACTCAACTCGTGGATTCCCTAGGTGACACTGGGATAATCTATGCATAGGGGTTGGTGCACGTTTTTGTCCTACGTTCTCCGATAGAAACTTTGGAGTGATTCTTTGTTGCACGTTGAGGGATTGCCATATGATCTAACTATGTTATCATTGTTGAGAGAACTTGCACTAGTGAAAGTATGAGCCCTAGGCCTTATTTCCAAGCATTGCAATACCGTTTTCGTTCACTTTTGTTACTCGCTACCTTGCTGTTTTTATATTTTCAGATTACAAAAACCTATATCTACCAGCCATATTGCACTTGTATTACCATCTCTTCGCCGAACTAGTGCGCCTATATAATTTATCATTGTATTGGGTGTGTTAGGGACACATGAGACTCTTTGTTATTTGATTGAAGGGTTGTTTGAGAGAGATCATCTTCATCCTACGCATCTCACGGATTGATAAACCTTAGGTCATCCATTTGAGAGAAATTTGCTACTGTCCTACAAAATTCTGCGTTTGAAGGCTCAACATGAGTCTACAAGAAAAAAAATACGTAGTAGATATCACCTGACAACAAGGGTGTTCACAAGATCTAGATATGGCATCAAGCTTTGCTTATGGCACGTCACCAACGAGTGCGGGAGAAATACAATGACAATATACATAAGGATCCGTGTGTCGTTTTCTATTTATATAAGATTCGTGTTGTAGGAGTTGGGAAAATTTTAGGCCTTGTCGCAAAAAATTGAATGTTGTGGCAGTGGCCGTCTGCAGATTTTTCGACTCCGGCTGCTGGTTTCTCCTTTTCACTGCTTGAGAGAAAAATGAAAGGGGCATTTAGTTATAACCCACATTCTAGTTTACATTTTGAGAATTTGCCCTCTCAGTAACACGTGGGGTCTGGACCCACCAGTCAGCAACACAGTAAAGGTGGGTTAGGATCAAATTCACTAGGAAAGTGCGAAACTGGATTTGTTCCCAGTTTTTTTTCCCTGGACAGGAAAAGCGGGGCGAAGGACGGATGGGTGCCACGTTGCGTGGGAGACTGGGAGCACAGGCAAACGAAGCAAGCCCTCTCCGGCCCTCTTATCCTCTTCCTCTCGCGACGGCGGTGGCGCCGAGGGCACCCAGGCCTCATTCCACCTTACCACGCAGGTTCGTAAGATCGCTGCCATCCTCCGTCTCCTCCCCCTGGCCTCCCCTACGGTGAAGAACCCTAACCTGCCTGGATTGTTCGACGAGTTCTGCCATTGTCGTCTTCCCTTTTGGCGTGAGCAACTTAATCCAGATATTTCCTTTCGGGATCATACTGCTGTCGATCCAATTTGTTGCGGAATCGTTTGGCGCGTGGTGGAATGCCGATAGCTGTTTGTTTAAGGAAAAGAGAAATGTGGGCGCCAACGTAATCCACATTCCCGACGTCATGACCACCCTTGAATTAGGGACGAAATTCTCGTGTTTCAGTATTGTAATTACCCCTTCTTAGTTGGAATTAGCTCTGCCTTTTGGATTGTTTCCAAAAAAAATATGTTTGTTGAGAAAACGAATTAAGTGCTTTTTAGAGAACGAACGGATCATTTATGTGATTAATAGCTCCGTGGATGTGTGAGTTCAGTGCTATATTGCTAACTTCATTTGCCTGCTTATCCAGGTAACTGTGCTTTGTGCAAGGCCGGGTTTATACAAAATGGTTCTCTGTCAAGGCTTATCTGCTGGGCAGGGGCAGCTGCTTGCTTTTCCTGCTGCTAAGCCTCCTCTCCTAAGAAGATCTTGCATTCGTATACCAGCGGGGTCACCGGGTCTAAAGAGTGCTCGGCTTTCATCCGAGAGGAAGAAACTTTCAGTGCAAGCTGTACGAGGTAATGCATGTAACGATCTAATTGTCTTTTTGTAAAGTTTACTGCAATCATGATGCTTATGCTCTTCTGAACAAATACGGTAGATCGTCCTTAACCCTTAGCCCCCCAAAGCAAAGTTATACTGATAGTTTGTTGGGTAGAAATATAGAGGGAAAACATTTTGAAGAGAAGAAGTGAGCACCAAAGGTAAGTATCATGTTTGAGATGACACTACCTGCATCAGCACCTCTTCTTTTCCATGCTTCTGGTAGGCTGGTAGGGCAGAGAAATGTGCAAAGTCTGCAGCAAATATTAACCTGCAATTGCAACGCAGGAAATATTCATACAAAGATTCTGCAAAATTTAATGGCGAAAAACACAGGAACATACACTGCTATCTATCTCGAAGGAGTTCTTTAGTGATCAGAAAGGACAATAAGGTGTAGATGTAACACTGTTATCTGATCTAATTACAAAATTGGTGATGATATTATAAGGACAATCTCATAATGACAATATGAAATTTGTTACTTCAGTCGAATATGGGGAAATCTGAATTCATATATAGGTTATTAAGTGTATAAAGTGCATAAAAAGCTGAGTTAGGTGCCAGTTATATGAATCTGAGGCTGGATGTAACACTTTATGATGGACTTCTTTAGAATATCCATAAACTTCTTTAAGTAGATAGAATTCTGCTCCAGAGCTGGCATGGGTGCGTAGCACAAATGCAAAATTAGAAGTGCATGGTCATGTTTTCCACATCCAATCTAATCCGACAACTGCGCATGAATTGACCTGCAAGGCTGCAAGTATCATGCTGAAATTGACATTGTCCATGAATTCTCAGTTATTACCTTTTGTACAATGAAGAATTCTCACCAAGGGCCCCCTGCAAAAGCATATACATAGCAGTTATTTCATCCTTCTAGAAAAAGAAACCCCATTGGTGGCAAATGCCAGCATGTAGGAAACAGACATGGGGCAGAGCTAGAATCAGTCCAGGTTTTAGGCCAAAACATCATGGAATTAATATTTACTATCAGGAAGTGTGGAGTGGACGATTACTTAAAAAAATAATTGGCTCTTGCTGTTGCTTTGCTGGCCTCGCCATGCATCGCCAGCCACTGGGCCCCTCTTTGCTGGAACGCTTAGCAGTTACAATAGTTAATATATAAGATTAAGTTCATGGTTTTAAGAGTTCTGCCCCCCTTGATTACTTGTAAGGAGCCAATGTTTTTAGGCAGTTTACCGTATAAAATATGGTATAGATAGTTATTTCATGGTTAAGCCAGTGGCATGAAGTAAACATGAAAGATGAATGTTTACTGATTAGTAAATCAGTCTAATAAATACCATAATGAACTTATGTTCTTTGATATTTGCTAGAACAAATATTGGAATTGAGACAGTTTTGCACATATAGTACGTGTCAGCTTATGTCTTCTTGTTAGGTATTTTCTTTACATTTCATTTCATCACCTTCTTGGATTCTGACATTCAATTCATTCTTTGATTCTGATACTTAATTCATTCTTTGATTCTGATACTTAATTTATTCTTTGATTTTCACATTTCACTGTATATCTTGCAGCCGACACTGGTTTTCTTCACCATGACATGCTCACATCATCTCTGATGGAGGATTCAATCAAGGGCATTCCATCATTATTGACCCGGCAGAATCAGTGTCGAAGATCGGAAGTTGGCTGTCGAGCTTCCTCTCTAGCATCATTCAGCTACCCTGAATTGACTTCCAAGCCCAGATGGTGGTGGAGAACCCTTGCATGTGTGCCGTACTTGCTGCCACTCCACAACATGTGGTCGTATGCCGATGTCATCTACCAGTTGCACACGTACTTGCAGGGCTTTTCATTGGTTTATACTTTCATCGACACCATGACACTGCTTCCAGGGTGGCTCTTGCTGGTGATATTTATGACCGTGTACTTCTTCGTGGTGAGACGCAAGTGGTCACCCCACTTCATGAGGTTCCATGTGATCTTGGCCATCCTCCTGGACACCGGCTCCCAAGCAGTGGCAACAATGTGCACCTGGATGCCCAGCTTCGTGTATCAGGGGAAGCCCATGCAGTATTTCTGGATGGCCATTGCTTTCATGCAGATCTTCACGGTGCTAGAGTGCATGCGCTGTGCTCTCTGTGGGATGTATCCGAACGTTCCTTTCATATCCCACACAGCCTTTATCCATTCTGATCTGAATCTCTTCAGGTAGCCACCTGCTCACCATGTCGGGTTTTTGATATCAGAAGGATGGAAAGTGAGATGGAGGTGCAAATAGGTAGTACTTTTTTTTTTGCAGTAGCTACTTACAGTTCTATAGACTGTTTTGTTTATACTGAAATTTTGAAGTCTCATTGTAATTGCCAGGATCGTGACCTTTTTCCGTTATGACAAAATCCAAACAGTGACGCGATTGATCATTGCATCGGTTGAATTGCTTCAGTGTTTGAACTATCTGCATTTTTGTTGTCTAGACTAGAAACGTGTGAAACTTTGAACACATGTTACCTCGTGTGGTTTGAATGGAACCCCTGCTGGCCGGGCTTGGCTAAAATCTGTTATCATCTTTCAGAAATGAAGGGCGGTGTCACACATCTCATGAAATCTAAGCCATATATGTCAGCCACCTTTGTTTCCTTATTCTCAAAGGCGTTTTCCTCACAAACAGGGCCATTATTACTAATTAATTCTCCAGGCTGTTTATTTATATTTAATCGGAAACATATATAAATCGGTAGAACGGCTTGTAAAGCAGCGAGGTGGTACTAATTTATAAAGAAACAAACGTTTTGTTTTTTATCTTGATGCTTTAGCTGTGTTGGTTGCAGCTTTGGGCCTCAACGTGCAACATTATGAGTTCGATCCCATGTAAACTAGCTAAGTGTCCGTGCGTTGCCACGGATTAACAAATATATATATACAAAGAGAAAATTCATGTGACATGAGAGTCAAAGGTTATTTCTATGGGATGATATCTCATGGTCATGATCTAGTAGATACATACATCTCGTCATTGTCTTTCTTCCACACTCCATGTCTGAGCTACCACGCGACATTCGACTTCCTTCTCCCACCATGCATGCTTTTATCTCCTATTTCTCCTACCTTTACCTTACACGACAGTACCAAGTTTCTTGTCCAACTATCATAATCTTCTCCGGTAGGGCACCCCCTTAGATTATTACTGACTTGTACATGTTGCAAATAAGATCAACGAAAATGGATACTAAATTTCTGATGAGAAATGAGAATTCAGGGCAATATCTTCCCAAGACAATAATAATTCCAAGACAATCTTTTTATACCTTCTGTCAACATTGGGACACACATTCCACACAATAAGCATGCAATGATGTTGATACTTGATTAATTGTCATTATATGTCTACAGTAAAGATAACTTTACTCAAAACCACCTATCTTAGCCAAATCAACAAATCTCTCTCATTAATGCAATTTTCTTTAGAAAACAAATAATAGATTCTTGCCTATCTTAGCCAAATCAACGGATCTCTTTCATTAATGCAATTTGCTTTAGCAAACAAATAATAGATTCTTTCCTACCTTAGCCAAATCAACGGATCTCTCCTATTAATGCAATTTGCTTTAGCAAACAAATAATAGATTCTTTCCTACCTTAGCCAAATCAATGGATCTCTCTCCGGTTCGCTGGGCGCGTTTCGCTGGGTGGGCGTGGGGGTGGGGGTAATTTGATGGAAATAAACCGATTGAAAATAAACCGGTTGAAAATAAACGGATCCTGTCTCACTCTTCACTTTCTTTACAATAAACTTCAGAATAGCAATCTTGGCGAGTGATCTCGACGGGGTTCAATCGGCGTGGCGCACCGCTGATTCTTCCAGGAGTGGGTGCTGAGAGGAAGGATCCCAAACCTCCATTGTCAATCGGCCAGAGCTGCATCGTCCTTTGGATCAGAGCGTGGACGGGATCAAGACGGTAGGGTTTGAGGAATTTGTAGGACATGAGGGTTTATGGTTGGCAGCACGAGAACTCACCCATATCTTGGCAGACGGCAGGCCCGAGGTGCGGTCGTGTTCATGCTTCGGGAGCTGCCACATGCTGTCCTCGCCGCCATCAGCGACACCACCGCCATCGCCTGTTGCCACCACTTCAGCGCCACGAGCGTGGGACCGAGGGACGAAGGGAAGGGAAGGAAGTGAATTGACGTACCTATGTTTGGTATATATCACACGAGGAATCAAAACTGGATGCACGTGAAAGCATAGAGATGGGAGAGGAGGACAGAGGAAGGGAAGGGCAAGAGGAACCTGAGGATGTGCGATGAAGGAGCGATGCCAAAACATCACAAAGGGGGACCCGTAGCTCGTCACGTAGCGCGGCCGCCTCATTGCCGGCTGCCACCCCGCGCTACCGCCTCCGTGCGCAGGTTCCGTTCGTGGAGCGTGAGGAGCGCATGACCTGCCTTCACCGCGGCCTGGTCCTCCCCACTATCGTGAAGCTCGCCCACATCGCCGCCCCAATTGCTCAGGATGACGGATGAAGATCCTGCAACAGCGACGTGGGTGAGGGATGCAGCCGACGATGGAGGGATGATTTTCGTGGCTAAACCCTCCCTATCAAAATAACTACTTAAAAAAGGCAAAGATCGATGCATTAGGAAAATTAGGATTTGGAATTGATTGTCATAAAACAAAATTTTATTAATTGATAACGTGCTATCGGTACATGCCCGTTTATAACGTGTCTAGTTAGGAAACTTTGGAAAAGTTAGGAAAGTTTTTATTGTGAGGGTAAAAAAATCAATGTGAGGAGATATGGTGGTGGGATATGAGACGAAAATAAACCGGACGAAAATAAACCAGACGAAATATAACCAGACGAAAATAAACCGTGGACGCAATCCTACCAACTGCTCCATTAGGAGTAGAGATACGTTTATTTTCTGCCTAATCTCGGTTGCACCTCGTATTTTTTGCATGGGCCGATTTCGGGTCAAGGCCCAGTAAGGCGATTTAGCCCAGCCTGACAAAGTTGTATCGAGGATGAGGCCCAGGTAGTAGTGCACACAGATTATGTACGTACGAAATTTTGCGACGTGGTTTTCCGAATTAGTACCACCTCGCATATATGTTTTAAATTCAAACTGAAAGCGTAAATTAACAGGAAGAAAGCATATTGTGAAGATGAACCCACAGAGTAAATCCGTGGTTTATAATTAGGAAAAATAAAAGATATATATGTAGTGTGAAAATATATTCAGTGATGAATCCAATAGTATTGGATTTGGTATTGCAAATGTTAATATTTTTTATAAACTTGCTCAAAGTTTACAAAGTTCCACTTAAAACAAAACTAATATGGAGTAAATAAAAACAGAAGGAGTATGTATTTGGGGGCGTTTGGTTGCATGCAGGAGGCACAAACAGGCCCACCGCACGAACCTTAAAGCAGTCTCAAGCCAGGCTGAGGGGGAGCGGCTGAATCGTCTGTTTCTCGCAAGAGCCACGCCTGCCTCTCACATGCATGCGTTGGGAAGCGCGGGAAACAACGGGGCGTCTAATAACTCTCATCCCTCTCTTCTGTCACCGTCCACTGTGCATTGACACAACACTCCCTCTCTCTCTCACTGCTCCTATGATTTCTCTGATGGTCGACCCTCAACCGTGTCGCCCCACCCCCGTCCCCACAGGCGGCAACCCAGTCCACGACTGGTGGTTGTCCGACAGGACCAGACAGGGCATTGACCTGCTGACGGGAAATTTATAAGAGAGTGGCAATTTTTCATCTATAGAATGGGAAATTTATTTTCTTATTGGCGTGTCATTTTTTATTTTTCAAAATAGAGAGCATGTCAATTTTAGTAGTTACATCATGATTTTTATTTTTAATGTCATGGCTTATTTATTATATCGGTCATGACAATTTGTTTTTTTGTATAAATTTTCATGTATGATTTTATATGATGGCATTTTAGTTTAAAACTTAAAATACCGTTTTGTTCACTTTGGCAACTAGCAACTTTTGATATACATAATTTCTTTTAAGATGTGGCAGTTCATATAAACTTTCTAGATACTGCAATTTATATTCGTTTTTTCTTGATGTGGCTCCACATATATTTTTCTAGACATGACAATTTCTTTTTGTGTGATTTTTGTTTTAGAGAAAGAAAATATAGAACATGGCAATTTTAATACTTGTATCATTGCATATTTATTTTTATTGTTTGGCATCTTTATTATCATGATCATTGCATTTTTCCCTTTTTGTGCACTTTTAAATTTTACATGTACTCTCACCGTCCACTATTGTACTTTTTCTCAGAATTGGATGTATATAGACATGTTTTACTGTATTTATTCACTCATTTCAGTCCGTGTATCTCTGTATTGACATATCCAAACATATTATAATAGTAAACAGAGGGTGTATAATTTTATACGATGTTTACTAGTTAAAATATTGTTTCTTGTTCACAAGTCAACTAACAGTTTTTGCTATACATATATTTTTTGTAGATGTGGTAGTTTATATATATTTTTCTAAAAAATGTAGGTTATTCAAATTTTCTTTTGATCTTGTTTTGTAATTTGTGCTTTCTGGTATATAAGGCCTGGTACTTTTTTATCGGCGTTCTAACATGCAAAAATTGTCAATGGTGCACATTCACCTTGGTGCTGTCTAAAAAAACATTTTCTACAAAGCAAATATTTTTTAAACCACACACACACTACGTACAACAAGAAACTACATAACATTTTACTTTCAGTAGTGGCTTACAAAAAAGACAAATATGTATAGTGAACACATACAAGTTTTCACATAAATTGCTTCTAATTTTTTTTTACGCTTCTAAATATAGTATTTGAATATATTTTTTCCAAAAAAAAGACAAGCACCATAACTTTGCTCTCGTCTAACCTGGGCCTTTTAAGCCCATTTGTTTGCTACTACAGTGACGTTGATTAGCGATAGCTAATTCCGAATGATATATCTCGCTTCTAGCATCCGTGAGCGCATTACCTCGCTCGTGTTGGTTTTATTCGTTCTTTTTTCTTTTTCTTTTGTTTCTTACTTTGGGGCTTCTTTTTGCGGGGAAAAAGGGAATTCATTAATTAAGTGGCAGCCATGTCTGCATTACTTTGGGGCTTTATCACAGGTTTTCTTTCTTTTTTCTTTTTTCTTTGTTATACATTGTTTCCCCATGTTTCCTCACTGATTTTCTTTGAATTTCCTTTCTTTGTTACACTTTTCCTGTTTATTTCTTCATTTCTTTGGTTTTCTTCTCTTTTTTTATTCCTTTATCAGTTTTATTGGCTTTTTTTAACACATGTTTACTTTTTTGTCAGTACAATGTAAAATTTTTGCGCACATGTGAAACATTTTTTTAGTAAACATTTTCAAAATACAGGATGTATATTTTTTTTGAATACATGGTAACACTTTGCAAATGCACGTTATACATTTTTTATAGATAATAAACAATTTTCTAAAACTACTCTAATATCTTTTAACATTGTATAAAAAATTGTTGTTTGATCCCTTTTTTAGACACGTTGAATATATTTTTAATGGTAATACACATTTTTCTGTTTGTATAGACATTTTTTTGTAAATGTCACAAACATATTTTTTTGAAACACGGAACATTTCTCAAAAATGTTACGTACATCTTTTTAAGAGTATGAAACATTTTTTAATTGTATACACTTTTTTACAAAAAATTTCACATACATTCTTTGAAATGCAGGAACATCTTCTCATTGTCATAATTTTTTTCTTTGAAAGTTGTCTTTTTTGGTTAATTTGTGAACATGTTTTTATATTGTGTTAACATTTTTCAAACTCACTGTTTTAAAATTTTAAAGTAAATTTTAGTTTTTAATTATATTTAGTTAAGATATAAAAAGGGAAAATAGCGTGATGTTAGCGCACATATGAAACATTTTTTTAATACACGGTAAACATTTTCAAAATACATGATGTATATTTTTTAAATTATATTTTTTGAGTACATGGTAACACTTTGCAAATACATGTTGTAAATTTTTTAGGTAATAAACAATTTTTTTAAAACAACCCTAATATCTTTTAACATTGTATAAAAAATTTTGTTTGATCCCTTTTTTTAAGACACGTTAAATATATTTAAAATGGTAATAAAAAAAATTCTGTTTGTATAGACATTTGTTTTAGATGTTACAAACTTTTTTTTGAAACACATAACATTTCTTTAAAATGTTACATGCATCTTTTTAAGAGTATGAAACATGTTTTTAATTGGATACACTTTTAGAGAAAAAGGTTTCACATACATTCTTTGAAATGCAGGAACATCTTCTCATTGTCATGATTTTTTTTCTTTGAAAGGTATCAATTTTTGTTAATTGCTAACATGGTTTTATATTGTGTTATCATTTTTAAAATTCACTATTTTAAAATTTTAAAGTAAATTTTAGTTTTAAATTATATTTAGTTAAGATATAACAAAGGAAAATAGCGTGGCGTTAGTGCGACCATCCCATCATTGGCTCCTTGTAGCATTCCCGCCGGCGAGGCAGTTGTCTGCCTTGTTTTTAGCAAGACATAGCCACGTCATAAGTAACGAGGGGGTCGCACTGGAGAGGATCTCATAGCAAATGAAAATATTCACTGCCCCCCATCCCCCCCCCCCCTCCTGGGCGATCGGCTCATTCGCGCCACCCCTCTCCCAGGAGGAACGTCAACTAGATATTAGGGTCCAAAACATTCTCCCTTCTATTCTAAAATTACTTTTGGTCATGAAAATTTACATCATCTGCTGGAGATACTCCATCCGTTTTTGTTAGTCTGCATATAAATTTTGTATGAAGTTAAATTTCATAAAATTCTGTCCAACTTTATTATAGGAAAATATCAATATTAAAAATATGAAATCAGTATTATTAGATGCATTATGAAATTATCCATACTGTATAACATTAGCATAATAGATGTTGAGAGTAATTTTTTAATATAAATTTGATCAAACTCAGCATAGTTTGACTTCAAAGGAATCTGATATATGCATAGTTTGACTCGACCCGATAAACACGCACGGACCGGAGAAACTGCAACGAACTGAAGCGGACGGACGTGACAGAGAAACGTACGCCGCCATGCCGCGCGTACGTGACAACGGTTCCCCGCCCGTCCTTCCGCCGACGGGCGTGGCCCACGTCCGGGCACACGAACTTTGACAGCCGCCCGCTCCCCGCGGACTCCACCGGCCCATCCCCCTAACTCCAATCCACCTCCGCGGTCCCCTCGGCGCGTCCGCCCGCCGCGCGCACCATCCCTCCCCACTGGACCGAGCCCACCGCCCAGGCCGCAAACAAACCACGTTTGCCACGCTCGGGCAGGGCGGCGGAGAGGGCGGTCCACCGTGCACCGGGAGCACGTGGGAGCGGGGCCACCGACGACCTTTCTTTCACCCCCGAGCGAAACCGACCTTGGGTACGGCCCCGACGGAGATACAACCGAGGCTTTCGGCGCCGAATCTCACATCCGCCACCTGCCCCGCGCGATCCGGGCCGTCCGCCCCGCCGACCGACGGCCCGATGCGCGCCCGCGTGTCCGGGCAGCGGCCGCCCCGACCCCACCGCGACGCGAGCGGTCAGCACCACCCGCCTGTTTGAAATCCCGCGCGGGGCCCGCCACGCAGTGAATTCCCATTTACAAACCCCGCACCGCGCGGATCTCCACCCTACCCAGCCGTCTCACTGACAGCGTCGCCCGACGTACCACCGGGACCACACGTCGGTGGCGGTGGAGGGCCGGGGGCTGGATCTCCGGGGGGTCGCGGGCCGCTGCGCCCGAGGAATGAGACAATTTAACTCCTCGGCACCATCACCACCACCAGTAAACTGCGAGTCCTCCCCGCTGTTCCTCTCCCTCTCTCTCTCCAGACCACTAGGCTCTGCTCCGTCCCCCAAGGCAGTTTTGGTTTCGCCTCTCCGGCGAAGTCACCCGCCGCCGGACAGGACGGGAGGAGGAGCTCCTCCGATCCAGCTCGACCGGATTGGATAGGGGTGGATCGTCCCGCGCCGGGAGGTAAATTGATACTGCTCATTTAATACTTTCCTAACAATCCTCCCCTTGCCCCCGTCGATTCCGGTGTTCGGATCGGCGTCCGCTCCCTCCTCCTGGTGCTAGCATCCCGATTGAGTTCGGCTGATTGGTTCCCTGCCATACGAGGCGGAGCTCCGATTCGTCGGCCCCGACCTTTCCTTTTCCTCGCCTTCCTTGTTGGACGATTTCTGATCCCGATTCCGGGGCCGTCTCCTCCAGCTGCTGAATCTATATAACCCCTCCTGGTCTTGCCTCTTCCGCAGATGTGTTGAGCTTGTTGTGTCCTCCTTGTCCGCTAGCACAAGCAATGGGAGACCTTCCCGATCTCGACCGCGCTCAGGCTGCCGGCGCGGGCCGGCGGGACAGGCTCGCGGCGCTGCTCGAGCTCGCCGCGGCGGACGACGTTGATGGGATGAAGGCCGCGCTCGAGGGAGCTGGCGAGGAGGCGGCCGAGCTGGCCGATGACGTCGGGCTCTGGTATGGCCGGAGCAAGGCGTACGAGCCGCGCACGCCGCTCATGGTCGCGGCCACGTACGGCAGCGCGCGGGTCGTCTCGCTGCTGCTCGGCCGCGCCGGCTGGGTCGATGTAGCTCGTCGGCCTGGCGGCGATGGCTTCACCCCGCTTCACTGTGCCGCCTCCGGCGGCTCCTGCGACGCCGTCCAGGTCGTCAAGATGCTGCTTGACGCCGGCGCGGACCCAGCTACTGCCGACTCCACCGGCCGCGTCCCGGCCGACGTCGTCCGGGCTCCTCCGGCTTCGGCAGACGCCCTGGGCGATCTCGAGATACTTCTTGGCCGCCGCCGGGCCCTCGCCGTCGCCACCTCGGCGGCTTCTGGCGCGTCGTCCCCGCCGCTTTCGTCCTCGCCAGACGACGAGGGCAACAGGTCGCCGTCGTCGCGCTCGTCGTCGCTCTCTCCCATCACCGTGGATCGCGCCAAGAAGGAGTACCCGGTGGATCCGACGCTGCCGGACATCAAGAGCAGCGTCTATGCCTCGGACGAGTTCCGCATGTTTGCTTTCAAGGTGCGTCCGTGCTCCCGTGCTTACTCGCATGACTGGACCGAGTGCCCCTTCGTGCACCCCGGCGAAAACGCGCGCCGCCGTGACCCCCGCAAGCACCCCTACACTGCGGTGCCTTGCCCCAACTTCCGGCGCCCTGGTGGCTGCCCCAGTGGCGATAACTGTGAGTTCTCCCATGGCGTGTTCGAGAGCTGGCTGCACCCGACACAGTACCGCACCAGGCTCTGCAAGGAGGGAGCTGCTTGCGCCCGCCGCATCTGCTTCTTCGCACACGATGAAGATGAGCTCCGCTATGTGCCTCACAACAGTGGTGCGGGTCTGCTATCACCCCGTGCAACTTCATCAATTGACATGACTGCCGCTGCTGCACTTGGGCTTCTTCCTGGGTCTCCCAGGCACTTTGTGCCGCCTCCTGGATCACCATCTGCCGTGAACAATGGCGGAGCTGCTTCTGCGCATTGGCTTCAAGGTAGCAGGCTGCGTTCTTCTTTCAATGCAAGAGACGCAACCGTTGAAGACCTTGGCTTGCTCCTCGATTGGGAGTCACAGTACCTTGGGGCACTCTGCCTCCCTCCCAGCAGCCGTCCGCAGCCCCGGCTTTCTACCGGCCTTAGCATCAGGCCTACAGCAATTGCCCCCACCAGTCTTGAAGATATGTATGCTTCACAGATGGCAATGTCACCGAGGTTCACCAATGATCAAGGTCACTCAGCCTACTCGCCAGCCCACAAATCAGCCATCCTTAACAAGCTTCATCAGCAGAAGGGTCTCCTCTCGCCTGTCAACACCAACAGAATGTACTCACCAAGGGCTCTTGACCCGGCAGCGCTTGTCCATTCTCCAATTGGCGGCATGTCTCCTCGATCCCCTCGGCTCATGGAGCCAACATCGCCCATGAGTGCCCGTTTCGGAGCCACTGTCCCACAGCGTGAGATGTATGAGCAGTTCTCTAACCTGAACAAGCACCAGCTACCATCCGTGGGTTCGCCGCGGAATTCTAATGCTGCTTCATGGGGCAACGTGGGTTCTTCCCCAATGGGTAAGGTTGACTGGGGTGTTGATGGTGAGGAGCTGGATCGGTTGAGATGCCCTGATCAACCAGGGTTTGCAGAGAAGGAGCCAGATGCGCCATGGGGGCGGTCACTGAACAGCAACAGGGGTGAAATGCAGCTGGGCATGTCGGGAGGCATGGCTTCTGGATCGGCAAACAGGCCTGACTGGAACAACCAGGCTGATTTATTGGATCAGATGGCCATTGGTGCTTGGCTTGAGCAGCTGCAGACGGATCAGAAGTGACTGAAAGAGGCGGCCAAGTCCACAGTTGATGAAACCATCATTTTGCAAGGTGGTTATTTACCAAAGAATAGTTGCTGGTCCTAGTAAATAATAATTATTCATTTTTATTCTTGAATTTTTGGTGGCAAAGTCAGAGATGGTGTTGAAACAAACAAAGCATCCGGTCACAGATTGGTAGCTGAAAGCAGTTAAGGATATTCAGTAAACAACCTCTTCAGTGTCCTAACTAGTATTCTTTTGGTTAGTTCAGGCGGGTCTTGAATACAAGATTCCTCCAAAGAGACTAGAATTGTCAATTCTTGATCAAAATGAATGATTATTTTGTGATAACATTGTCGATTGCCGTCTGTTTTCGCTCTGTTTTTTTTTCTTTAAAAATCTCATTCTGTTCTGCTGCTGATCCTGTGATGTATGGTCCTCTTTCGTTTTGCCGCTCTGCGGTTTTAGTAAAACATTGAAAGCAGTATTGTTACTGGACAGTCTGTATGCTTCAAAACGTGGTTCAGATAAATGTGATTATCTGCTCTACAGATGATGTTTATCTTTGCCAGACCTGCATTTCGTCAATGACACGGGAACCGAAATATGAATGATTTTGTATAATGCCTATCTATTTTCTGTATCAAATGTTTGTGGAACTGTGGACCGAATAATTATGATTCGAACTTTTAGCTGTGAAGTGAAGAAGCAGGATCTGTAGTTGCACCCTTGCACTATCTTGCATATCGGGTAAATCAGAGTAGATTCCTTTTGTATTAGTTTGTCGCGAAATGAAACGTTCGCGAGGTAAAAATGCATTTTTACGCGGAACATTTCTACACATAATTGCACAAGGCACCTCGTAAGCTCAGATCACATCGTTAGGACGCATGCTCCTTTCCGTTGTTGAAGGGTTCTCTCTTCTCTTGTTCAGAGACTGAATAAAGAACGTTGGTTCAAAGTTGAATATTCACTGACTTGGCGGCATTTTTTACCAAGGACGTACTACCATAGTTCCTTGCTCCACATGTGTCTCTTCGTGCTGAGCCACCACCCTGGTCAGAGATGACGAATAAAGCAGCCGCCTCCCAACAAGAAAATGCGTGGGCGGTTCGGTCATAAGCGTTGAACGAACAGTTCTAGCCAAAGCGAGTTTCAACTACCATGACATGGCATCGTTCAGCAAATTTAGACTTTGAACCCTAGCGTGAGGTAAACGATCATCCGCAGCAGGCAGTGCGCTTTATTTGCACAAGAACGTATGGATAAATTTCTAGTACAGTGGTAATTGACGAACTATGCAACACACAAAAATGCTTTGGGTGCTTCGGGTGCTGTTGCCAGAGATGAAAATGGTGATTTTATTGCTACAGTAAGCTGGTTCATCCCTCATGTTGGTAATTGACGAACTATGCAAAACACAAAAATGCTTGGATAAATTTCTTCTGCATTGGTAATTGGCGAACTATGCAACACAAAAACGTTTGGTAATTTCTTGTATAGTGGTAATTGGCGAACTATGCAATTGCTTGAGTTTTATAAAGAATAAAAGCTATTGGTGAACTTGCACGAAGCATGATAATGAGAGTATTGACAATCCTACAACGTACGAAACTGCAAGTATATTGTAAGACTCCAGTCGATTTCAAACAGTCACCCACAAACCTGTGCTGCAACTTTTGTAGCACCATAATACGAGGAGTACTCTGATACAAGTGGACAGTATCCACTCCTATTGCTTGAAATGTAATCCGACTTGTTCAGAAACACATATTCACAGTTCTAAAGGATCATTTCTGCAGAGTGATGGTACACCAGACACATCTTGCGGGGAGACTGGCAAGTGTGGCAACCAAGCTCATGTTTCAACTCCTAGGTGTGTCTGGCTCTTCTGTCGGAGTTGAATTTGGGTCTTCAGTCACGCTAACTTCTTCTGATTGTCCAGGTTGGTCAAGCCCATTTACGATGTAATTTGCTGTTCCACACACAAGCAACACAAATTATTTTACCTCAAACTGTGAGCTTCTTATAATGTACTAAAAGATATGAAGCAGCATGGTGCAATTGCAGGTACGAGGCTAGGAATGTAAACTTGTGGACATAACTCTAAGAAGCAAGATAGCACATAAAAGGCATTGCAGTATACAGTATTAAGCTGATGAAAAGATTGTCTGTAGTTCAAAATATTAAGAAAGCATGGTGAAAATGATGAAGGATTTAGCAAGATGTTAACAATAAAACATGACTGAAATCATACTGATTGAGGGAGATTGAAATTGGCCCGATAGAGATCAATATCCATGGCCGTGCAATCATAATACCATGACCAAAATCAATGATCAGGTACAAGTTAGGGCCCCAATTTACGATCAGATATTTAAGTTATCATGTATGCCCAATATTAAGTATTGTCTGCACAAGCATTCTTTTTTTTTTTGTCAATCGTAGAGGATCTAATTCTCGTTCTGTACCTGTTGTAGCACCCCTGATGGCCATGTTCTCTACAAAACGAATTTCATCTTCATGGTTGCTCACGAACTTTGTCTGGTTTTGTTGAGAATTTGATGTCCATTAGTAATATATCCATTAAAACATGTATACATACATATCAAAACACACTCACAAGTTCCTTGGACAAAATATTCAGGATTCTATCAATTTTTGCTTGATGCTTCCGGAAAAACGGGCGCAGGTATCTTCTGTACACATGCTTTGATCCCTGAAAGACAGAAAAGGACACCTCTATTAGTAATGACTAAGGACAATAATTATACCAGATAATTTAGATTTAACTTCTAGTCAATAATTATGTCATCTGGCCGAAAAGCAGCAGAAAATTTGTAACACGGACATGAACATGATGCTTAAAGCTCTATACAAAAATTTAAATCACACGCTTTCGGCTACAAAATCAATTAATCATAGCACGACTCTATCTTAAGGAAAAGAATACTGGGCCAAGGAATGCACTGAGAACAGATGACTCACAAATTCAGTTAGTGCCAAATATGCCACAAGAAAAAGGCCCTCTTCCAAATATAACACTCAGATTTTGACCAAGTCCCAAATATTCAACTTCAATTAGTTGACTGTTAACAGACAATTGAAAGGAAAAAAAATTGGCCCTTTATGCTGATTTTTATACATGTCGTGTAATAAATGTGTGCATCATATTCCAATTAGTTGGTAATAAAGTTTGGAAGTGATACAAAGGACCTGGTGAAATTCTGAGTGGTACTTTGAAAGAGGAACTTTTCGATGGAATATCTGGAACCGGCAAAATTCTGGCTGGCATATATGGAATTATGTTTCGTTTCAGATTGCATAGCCAAGAATCAAATGCCACCGGCTACATCATCCTATGAGAAATATAAACCTTGCAAATTGTCAGCTTCCACTACAACTGCACTCTTTAATGTCACAATCATATCAATCGACTAACCATCCGAATTCTCAACTGACCAAGTCAAGTGAGTTTTCAGTTTTATATTTCTTGATTCTGATAACCTTGGTGTAGATAAAGTTAGACATACCTCTGTCCAACATCGATATTCATATAAAACATGTATCATTTGCAAAAACTACTCCCTCTGTCCCATAATATAAGAGTGTTTTGGACACTACACTAGTGTCAAAAACGTTCTTATATTATGGGACGGAGGGAGTAGTTCGCTACATATTAAGTTAACAACAAATATCATGTAAAAAAATATGTTTTGTTTATTTACTTCTCTATGGATCATTTAAACAATAAAAAAAGTTATAGCGCACAGCTTTCGGTTGTACATATAGATGTAGGAATACAAAAAAAGAGATTAACATTTTGGAAAAATAGTTGGTTTATGACTTACACCATTTGAAGGAAACTGGAGCCATATAAGGATAGCAAATTTCGCATGGTAATAGAGAGGAACACTGCAAAGCAATAACAGGGTACAGAATGATCAAAAATATTTTCTAGGAGAGGTAGAAAATAACTCGCTTAGAATGGTTATAATACAATTAGATGCATCATACAAGACATTCACTAGAGAAGAAATAAGAGATGTGGCCATTGCCCGTGTTGACAAAATAACTTAATATCAAACTGAAGCGTTCCAATATTACTCTGCGTGTTTTTTAACTCAAATTATTCTCAGTGCTTCCTAGGTTTTTTCAGTCCTAAACCGTTTCTAGCAATTTCCTACTGGTTGCAAGTTCCAGTACAACTTTTATGTCCAATCATGATTAGGAATGGGTTACACCTGTATGGGTTTGTTATTCTACTGTAAACCAGACAATCTATGGCCTCCAAACCAGTCTGCCTTGATAAACTAGTTTTGGATTTCAAAAATTTCAAGATCTGATTCAGGGAAGTAATGAGTTACGCTTTAATAAGTAATATATAGAACAACAGGAACCCGGCCACTCCTGTCCCCTTTGGTATTTGGAACTTTATTACTCACTGAAGTAAAGCAGGCACTACAGTCCATGCCAGTATGCTAACTTACCAGGCTACCAGCAATCATCAAGGGCTGCGGTGCAGAGGTTCGGTTGAAAGATAACATACACAAATTTAATAAATCATCATGGGACAGCACACCTGAGACAACTATTTACATTTTTACTGCAGTTTACCAGTAATAACAGGATGAGGGCCAGAAATAATCACAATCCACAAATACAGGATACATTCAATAAACTGATGCTACTTAAATACTTACTATAGGTGAATACAAGCATTATGTAGTACTTTTCGTGGGAAATTCACAAATACATTTTATGGAACTATAATAGTTTGTACAAAAATCAATTTGGTTGTATATCAATTGTGTCCTATAACTATAAGGACGTATTACTTCCATATGTAGGACATATTCAGTATTCAGTATGCATATTTGCATTTAAAGATGCCTACATGGAATCTGATACCAAAATGCAAGGGGCAGCTACAAAGGGATACAAAGACCCCACATCGCAGTGTCATTACAATTCATATCAATGCCACAAATAATGAGAAAGTACTCTTCGACCTTGACAAATACTGTTCATACCTTGAAACAAGCTTATCAGCAAAGGATTCCACAATGCTAAAAGATCCATATGCTGCAAAATAATTGGATATTAAATGTTACAAGCAACAACAGATCTAGAAAATCTTGGGCATGAAATTAAACAAAAATAGAGTGAAGATACATGTGCTTTTGGAAATATCCATTTGTGTCCACGTAAAGTGAATTTTATCGTTTGTTTCCTATTGTTTAGAAATGTACATACAAATCTCGTAATAAAATTATTACACCATTGAAGCCACTATAGACCCAAAGTGGTCGGACCCTTCCCTGGACCCTGCGCAAGCGGGAGCTACATGCACCAGGTTGCCCTTTTTATTGAAGCCACTGCACCGAGATTTTTTTATTTGAAGAGTACAGATACCCATATGGAAAATTTAGAAAGGTAATTTCACTTTCAATTAGCATAACTAAATACATCAATATGCCTCAAAAAATGTCCATTGAAAGAAGTTGCTTCACAGTAGAAATGAAAATTTTAGTACAAATTCATTTATTATTTACCTGCCCAATAAAGGAGCAACCGTTCTTTCTCATCTTGATCTTTCTTTTCTATAGCCCTGTACGTGGAGTATACAGGTAGACCAATGCCCACCGCACAACTGTACCAGCACATAGTGAGGATCATATGATGAATTTCTTCCACAACAAAAATAATAGCTCATCTATTAACAGGGTTGCTACAATAAGTATAGGTTGCAACCTCCTAGACAATTATCTAACTACATTAGCATCTTGCCACTTTGATAATACAGATTGTGCTCGTCTCATGTAGCTAAAATTTAGGAGATGAGCATATGCATATGAGATGTGACACTTGCTTTCAGCATAGACCAAATAATTAGCTGTTACTAATATGAACAAAATACTTAGTGATGATGGCAACAATTTGACAGCGTGTAGCAAGATAAAAAAACTAAAAATGTGATGATCTCCAAATGATAGTACAATTATTATTCACTAACACGCTCAATGCGCCTAAAAAGCACAATAAGCAAACACCTTAACAAAACGAACTAGCCAAAGAAACAATCAACTTACGAGAAGCATGACATGAAACCAGATGAAAACCATGCCAATTAATTTACAACGTTTCAAGTATACCTGGCTGTGCGGATGACAACATTTGAGCTTAGTGGTGCCAGTAAAAGCCGCAAACCAACCTATGAGATGAAATGCAGTCTCAGGATTTCAGCACAAAGCATAACTTTTACTCGCAAGTAACGATTGTATCCAAGACGAAGTGAGAACCCATCCAGGATGCTTGCGAGTTTAGACAAGTTATCAGACAATAACACAAGACAAATTTACAATCGATTGCTCAGCCAGAAGTCAGTATCAACATAACTATCTGAAACTCGAAAATCCAAATGCAACACTTAGAGCCATTGCAAACACTACCACTCTATGTTTCAATTCAACTACTTGGATCGCCAGAAACGAACCACAAGAACACCAAACTACACCAAACAAGATCAAACCCTGTCACACCGACATACTTTGATTTGGTCAATAGTGACTATGCACTAGAACAGAACGGTTATTTTAAGCTGACTCCAGTCATAATCTAAAAAGTCCATCAAATCGAAATCAAATTTGACCATATTGCAAATAGCAGGGTAATAATTATAATGTCTGCAGCAAAGCACTTCTCGCCTAACCTTACTCACTCTTCACCGCCTCACACGCCCTCCTAGTGCAAAATCAATGCATGCTTCGGCGCGAGCCCATCACCCAACCCAATCGTCTCCCCAACCGAGCAGACTGGGCGAAATTCCAACACGAACAAGGTGCAAGCGCGCCAACAGCAACACCCCACAGCCTCCTTACGAGGAGCGAGATTCCTCGCGCGACTCGTGCGATCTAGGGTTTCCGTACGAGGCAGGGTTTGGTGGGAGGCGCGTACCTCTCCGGAGATGGCGGGCGCCAGAAGAGCAGCCATCGGTCGCCGCGGACGAGGAGCCGGGATCCCTAGACGGCGCGCGGACCCAGGGTGGGAGGCCGCTGCGTGGAGAGCAAGGGATCCGCGGCGATCTGAGCTCCGGGCGCGAGAGGAGGAGGGCACGCGCACAAACCTGCGGGAGAAGCGACGCCGGCCGTAACGAGAAAGCCGGGAGCAAAAAAAGTGGAGATGATTTAGCGCACTAGGCCTTTTTCCGATGGCCAGCGATCTGCGCCGGCGCACCGGCCCAACAGTTGGGCCGGTCGAGCCCGAACCGTCCGATGCGGTCAGCGCCAACCGTCAGATATGCGCGCAAAGTGAGTACCTAATGAACCGTTGCAGCAAAAAATGGTATGTTATGTTGCAACCGTGCTAAAGACGCGCCACAACGGGGAAAACAGGGGAGCTAGATCCCCCGCGTCTGTTCGTCCCCAACCCGCGGCGGCGGCTCCCCAACCCGCGGCGGCGGCGGCCGGATCCGCCGGTTTTTTGTTCCCCACGACCTAATAACCTTCGAGGAGGGGCTCCCTCATCTATCAAGACGCCATGTGCTTGCTTCAACCATGTCGTACATCCGCAACGACCTCCTTGCCGCCATGGATTTGGGCTCGAGCTCCGCTGCCGTTCATGGCCGAAGCCCACTGAGGAGGGAAGACCCTGGTAGTAGTGGACCGGTGCTGCAACGGTACTACAACCCTGGTGTGGTCTTCCAAGATGCAGCACGGCATGGCCGGGATGAATTTGATCTGGTATGAAATTCAATTGCAAACCCTAGATCATTTTGTTCACAAAAAAATTTTTGCAACCTTTGATGATCATGAGATTGAAAAGAGATGTTGCCAACATGCTTGTGTTTGTTTTTTGTGTAATATTGCTAATATGTTCTCAATTAATGCTAGTAAGATGTTTCTTCCTGCTGGATGTTGATAAAATGTTACAAGCATGTGTTGCATTTGCTTCATGCTACTTGCTAGATGTTGCATGCTGCATCCTAAAATGCTGCATGCAGGAATTGTTTTTGGGTTATGATTGCCATGCTGCGTCCACTTTTTTTTGTTCGTGCTTTTTACGTATTTTTTCACGCAGCAAAAAAAATGACTTGGTTGCTGATTTTGTTGCAGAATGTTGCTGTTGAGCCATCAATTTTCCTTGACGATGATATGCAAAATGTTGCACATGAAGAAGAAGAAGAAGAAGAAGAAGAAGGCATTGATCTGAATGAAACTCCGTGAAATGTTAGTGACGATTCGTTTCAGCTGAACACCGGTGGTGTAGCTCCAAATCAAGGCAATGCTCGTGTGGCTAGTGACAATGCCAATGGAAATGCCGCAACACTTGTTGACGAACCGGATGAAGATATATCATCACAGCCAGTTGTCCCTTTTGTTGGAATGGTTTTTGACAATGTTGAAGAAGCTCAGCGTGTTTACAATGAATATGCCTCGAAGATGGGCTTTGGAACTCGCATTGTGACGTCAAAGTATAGTAGGAAAAATAGCTCGGATAAGAAGCGCATTCTAATCTATAGAGTTTTTGAGTGCATACACTCACGGAAAAATCCTTCGAAGAGTGTTGGTGGTAGCATTTCTGAAGGGGCTGCAACAAATGAGTGTGATGATGTTGATATGAGCTATGCTAGTAACAAAAAATCTCCAAGCAAACAAGCTGGCATCTATATGGATGTGAGCGACAAGAGGAAAAGAAATCGGTTGGAGCGGTATGATTGCAAGGCTCATATGGGTGTTAACCTCAAAGACGGTAGCTGGGTTGTGACAATTTTTGAGGCCGATCACACACACCAGTTGATGTTGCAAAGGGGGCGTCGGAGATTTTGCCGCTCTCACAGAAAGATCCCGGATGCAGACATGCAGTACATCACTTCACTGCACTATCGCAACATATCTACGGCTAATATGATGGGCTTGCTTGGAGATGCACGGTGTTGCGATCCAAGGAGTTTGCCGTATGTGAAGACTGATGTGACAAATGCAAGAGCAAAGTTGCGAAGGGGCCTATCGGAACGTGATTTGGAGCTGACAATCGAGTACTTTGAGAGAAGACAAGTGGAGAATCCAAACTTCTTTTTCTCGAAGCTAGAAGAAGATGGAGCTGTTAGGGCGCTTTTCTGGGTTGATGGGAGAACAAGGGCCTTGTATCCAAAGTACAAAGATTGTGTGTTTTTCGACACCACATTCTGCACAAATCGCTACAACCTGCCCTTTGCTCCAATTGTTGGCATTAACAACCACACACACACTGTTTGCTTGGGGTGTGCTTTGTTGCCTGATGAGACCATTGAAACTTTCAAGTGGGTCTTCCAGCAATGGATGTTGGCAATGAATAATGAGCATCCGTTGAACATTATGACTGATCAAGACCAGGCAATGGCTACAGCCATCTCAATGGTATTCCCACATTCAACACACAGATGTTGCAAGTGGCACGTCTTCCGGGTTGCAAGAACAAAACTAGGGAGGATGCTGGGCAAGGATGAGCCTTTTGCAGAAGCATTCTATGGTTGCATTAAAGGTTCAGACACCGTTGAGGAGTTTGAAGAACGGTGGAAGCAGATGGTCGAGGTGTTTGGTGTGGCTGATAAGAAACACCTCAAAAACATGTGGAACAGCAGGGAGACGTGGGCTCCTGTGTACTTTAGGAATAAGTTCTTCCCATTCACAGGAACAACTGGGCGCTCCGAGGGCCTGAATTCCTACTTCAAGACATTAAATCATCATGGAGACTCGGTTTGGACCTTTGTGCAGCAGTTTGAGCTTTGCCAGGAGCTGATGCTTGATCGTGAAGACAATGCGGACTTCATCAATGAAGCGACGAGGCCACCACTCTGGGGCAAGTAAGTCCAAAAGTCATGTAGCATTTTTTTTAGTTTTCCAGTATAGTTTGGATGCAGCATTTGAATGAAACATATGTAGCAATTCTTATTGATGTTGGAAGCTTTTTTGTTTGCAGTTACAACATTGAGAAGCAGGCTGCTGATTTCTATACCAGAGAGGTATTTTTCAAGTTTCAGAAACTATTGGCTAAATCAACAGGCTATGGGTTGCAATACCAGCTGCAAGGGAATGTCGGCTGGTTTCGTCTTGTTGCAAATGATGGCATGAACCCTAAAGTGTACACGGTGCGTGTTGCCCCTGATGATCAGACATACATGTGCAGTTGCAACATGTTTGAGATGTGTGGGCTGATCTGCCCACATATCATCCGTGTCATGGTGCACCTGAACGTGCAAGCGATACCTGCGAATTACATGCTTCCAAGATGGTCTAAGAGAGCAACCGACCTTGCACCTGAACCAGGCGATGGGCATAGAGCTATGCATTTCGGCGTCCCCACAACAAACACCCTAAAGTTTAACTCTCTCTGCCGGAAGTTTGGGAAACTCGCTTCTGATGCATGCTTCAATGATGAAGCTTATAGTTTTGTCTCTGGGCTAATTGATCAGGGTAGTGTTGGGGTTGCTGAAATAAAAGCTAGAGCGATCGATGAAGTTGCACGAGGCGAAGAAGCCCAAGGTCATGCAGCAAATGAACAACTCTCAGGGGGTCCCAGTACAGGGCAGCAGGATCCACCCCCCGTAGGACTACGAAACCCACCAAAGTCAGCAAAGAAGGGGAGGCCAAAAGAAAAAGAGAAGCGAAGGAAGCCACTAATTGAGCTTCGAGAAGATGAAATGAAGAAGAAAGCAAAGAAGGACGCAGCGAAAACGAAGAAAGCTCCAAAGCCAAGGGAAAAGAAGACTCCATGCAAATATTGTGAAGATGAGGATCACAACGTGAAGAACTGCCAACTCCTTGCCGCTTTTCTTGCTGCGAGTGCGAGCGCGGAAGCTCCAGGTGTCGGGCCAATCCTTACACTTTAGGATGTTTCGTGAGGGGAACAATGATGAATTACCTTGTAACACCCCATGTCTTATGATAAAAAGTTGTGTTGACTAGTTGTGAATGTTTGTGTTTTGGGATTGCAACATACTACTACATGTGTGGTTTCAAAATGCAGAATGTTGATTTTTGAATTATGATGGTGCCAACTTATAAGTTTTTTTTTAAATAGTACTCAATGGTTGAATATCCTTGAAATCATGTTTAGAATCTCTGTGAAAAAGCATGATTGCAACATTTTAAAAACATGATTGAAGCTTCTGTAAACATGGTTGAAGCTTGTAGGAAACATGGTTCAAGCTTTTGGAAAACATGGTTGAATCTTTTTGAAAAATAATGGTTGAAGCTTTTGGAAAACATGGTTGAAGCTTTTTCAAGCAATGGTTGAAGCTTTATTAAACATGGTTGAAGCAAAAAATAATGGTTGAAAGATTTTGGAAAACATGGTTGAAGCTATTTCAAGCAATGGTTGAAGCCATTTTTAAACATGGTTGAAGCAAAAAAATAATGGTTGAAGCTTTTTTAAATAATGGTTGAAGCTTTTGGAAACATGGTTGAAGCTTTTTCAAACAATGGTTGAAGCTTTTTTAAACATGGTTGAAGCAAAATAACAAGTTTGAAAAAGGAAAAAGCCTTGAATGATTTAAAGTGTTGGTTTTGCTATGCAGCAAGAGTTTGGAAAGGAAGCTTATTTACATTATGCTTCCAGCAAAAAAATCACAGGGGATGTAGCAAAAAAATCACAGGTAAAAATGTAGATTTTTGCCATGCAACAAATCTAACAGAAGGTTGTAGCTATTTTTTGTAAGCTTCCAACAATTTGACTGTGACAATGCAGCATCCACATATTGTTTTCATGAAAAAGGTTTCGAGGGGAAAACTGCACAGAGATTCCCTTGAAACTTCTATGGATGAAGCTCATAACCAGCAAAACAATAAACGGGTGTCAATGCATGATCATGTTGGCAAAGCAGAAGATCACATCCATTAAAGAACGGGAGAAGTGCTTCATCCAAAAGAGATCAAGTTATCATCGGTTTACATACCAAAAAAAGAACACATATGTTTACCGAAGGTATCATTAGGGTACATACGAACGCGCAC